CGAGTTGTGGGTTTGAGCATTACAAGGGCCAGATGGAATGCGCACCGCTGACGCTTCCCGACATTGCTATGTCTATGCACTGCTGTAGTCGGAGGTCGAAGGGAGAGGAGCGGTGTTTAGTTATGAAATAAATTGCGAGCGCTTTTGTCCTCGCACCAGAGGCCGCGCACCGTGTGCAAGTCGTGCGCTGTGTCAGGTGCCGATCACTCAAGTGCGGAACGTACATCTTTTCGGAGCCCTGAGGAGCGATGGCTTGATAGAGTGTACTATCGTGAGAGGAAGTTACAACAAACAAAGGTGTGCGCAGTGGTTGTGTGGACTGTTGGATGCAAGGGGTTCGACTTTTGTCGAAAACCGCCTCTTGATCAGCGACAACGCGCCATGCCACACGAATCTGGAACGCGTATTCCAAGAGGAGTCGTACCGTTCTGACAGCCTTCCGCGCCTTCCTCCATATTCTCTAACACAACGCAATTTGTAGCACATGGAGCATCATAAAGCATATGTTAAACAAGCTTTGAGACAGAGATATTCCTAGATGTTTTAGCGAGATCCTAAGGAGGTGCTTTACAAGACCGAGTGGAGAATGTGTTTCATGGAGCGAATTGTGCCAGAGGCATGAGCCTGCGTGATGTCTTAGCACTGCCAGCATTTGATAGATCATGTGAGAAGGAATTACGCTCGTGCAAGGCATTGTACTGCTTTGTAAATTGCTCCCATTTTGTTGATATAAATGCAGATAATTTGAACTGGTATTGTCAATGCTATGCATGGCAAAGCCATTGATTCAACATGCAGGTGTGAACGATGGTGTTCAGGCTAAGTGCTGTCGCAGAGAATTCCCGCATGTTTCCACGTTAAGCGTTGCGAGACAACCAGAGGATATCCGAATGATTCCTGGTAAGCGGGACTAAATTGCTCCTAATGATGAGAAGTCATGTGTTGTAACATTCTGTAGTGTCGCGAGATGATACTACGTAGTTGGTATCACGAAGAGGAATATCGTGCACAAAAACGGAAAAGTCATTCTATTGATCGTTAGGTTAAGTATCACTACATAAATATTGCAATTCACCTAGTGCCGTAGGTTACATATGGCCGAGTGAAGACAGACACTGTGATGTACACTAAGACAACACGTCGGATACAAGTCACTGATCAATCAAAGGACGCGAAATAGATGTTTATCGCATATTGGCAAGCATTTTAGAGGGTTAAGCGGTCGATTGCGTTCGTTTCAGTGCTTAAGTTGTGCCAATGTATTTGCTGCATCAGAAGTCGTCCGCTAATTGCTAGCGGTGCAGTGTTCAGAGAATACGAACCACGCAAGCTATCAAGGTAGACGTCATCGCGATCACCTACACAATAACCAGCCCTACATTCCTCCAATGTAAGCACCTTACGGCAAGTGCCGTGCTTCACATTTACTTTGGGCTGGATGGTATGGGATACTGTGTTCGGCTTAAGGTGCACAGATCTTTCGCCACATCCGTGCCTAAAATTAAGAAGGTAGCAGTCGTATCACGGCACTGACTCTCACAACAGATTGCTGACATGATGTTTTCCTCTTAACCAAGTGACTAACTGTCAACCCAGAGTTCAGTGGCAAGTTGCGCAGACCACTTCCATTGCTTTGTTCATAAGCACGCCATAAAAATTTTGTCACCTCACACCTCGATCATTCGCAGTCACACAACTGTGACTGTCTTGCTAGCCGGACACACCGAACCTGCCCGAACGCTAGTAGGTCGTCCTAACAGTGTCATCTCTGGTTTTCTGATGTGCTTATTTGGAATTATAAAAGGGATTTCATGTATAAAATTATGTTCTCCAATTTTCAGCCTCGTGCCCAAAATACAAATTATGGCGAGCGATCAGTTATAACTAACTGGACGTATACCAGTTACCATGTAAATATCTCTGCTAAATCACCATGTCACACCCCATTTTATTGGTACGTCCATTAGTTAATTGTTCTCTCCTCATTACGGCCATCCTACGGACCATGTCAAGCGTTATCTACTTGCCTCTTTATATACATTTGTACTGACAATCGCCATTGTGGACTACGTGTTCACAGGCCGTTATGTAGGAAATTGAGTGTCATCGACCTCGCGGAATTGTGGGCTTTGCAGGTACAACTACCGTGGGAAGAAACTGAGGTGTTGCGCGCCTATATGCTGTGTCGGCCAAGTACCTTTGCTGGAGAAGAGGCGGTGAAATGGACAGACAAAAATGCCGAGCAACGTTAGAGTGACTCCCATGTATGAAGATACTACTAAACTAGGTAGGGGATACGAATTCAGCTGATGCGTACCGACTTGCGTGTCAGTTGCCATTGCATTCGGTCCGCACCAGTCCGTCCATGCATGTGCGTACAGATTAGTCGATGCAAACGTCCGACAGCCCGGTCGCAGTATCTTATTTGATTCAGGGACCATCAAGTCGGTGTACTGCATCCACCATGAGGGTAAGTGACGCCTGCTCTAACAAACAAGGGCCTACTCACCTTGTAACCAAGTGGTCAGAGTTGTATTTCGGCAATAGCCCTCTCAGCAGACCGTCGCTCAAGACGACTCTCTATAACCGAAGGCGGCCACCTTCCAACCAGTATTTCGGTTGCGTATACCCCTTTTGTCGCTTTAATCGCATGCCCGTCACAGCGGCCCCGTCATATGCAGCCATGCAACTGTGACTGACTTGCTATCCGGATGCAGTACCGTCGTATGCCCGAGCGTTGTTGGGTCGTCCAAAACCTTGGACTGCACCAGTGCCAAACTAGCAATAACATCGTTAATGGTGTGTCGCACTATCTTGTTCGCAGCTCCCACCTCCTACTTATGCCTTTCGCAAGGCATGGTTTACATACATGGTAGTCCACTTACGCACACTGAAACTTCCACGCAGTCGCACCACATGTGTGCACAACCTTGTGTCCCTAAGCTGCGTGGAACTAGCTTTAGATTAGGCAACAGTGCTGAATGGATGCTACAACGCCCACGTGCCCCCATCACACACAACCAAGTTATACATTCATGCAAGGGTTATTACATCTAGCGTCATTGGCTGGTTTGGACTAGCTCAAATCCAAGGTCACTGCGCGCTTGGTGCGTCGAAATGGTACTAGATGCAATTCAAATACGTTAAACATGATATTCGATTGACATGCATATGCAAGTCAGAGCCTTAGGGAGCAATTCTATTGCGCTATAAGTGCAATCAATCGGGAAAATGTGTAGATACATGAAAGCGCAGTGTGTATTTTATACAGTGAAGTTCGCTTCCATATCCTGACCACCTCTCTTATTTGATCGTTTATGAAAGCTTGAACGTTTACCGTGTAAACCAAATGGAACCGGACACCTGTGTATTGGCCAGCTCTGTAAGTTGCATGTTGATCACTAAGGCCATAACGCAGTATTAATTTAGCCTCTATCAGATGATCATATGAATGGCAACCGTGCAATGCATGCTAAACATTGCATTTGTTCCAATATCAATATGTATGCAAGGAGATTTTGCAACGCGTGGAATTCCGCTGACCTTGAACCGCTGAATGTTACGCCTCCGCAGACGTATGACGACACAGCATATTCTCTGTAGTTGTGTGTGTGTGTGTGTGTGTTAAATTTTGTCCTTCCTCACACTTTTAACGTGCGTGGGTGTTCGCGTCCTACGGTGTATCCCCACAGATCCGTGTCCACGAATTGATTATAACCGCCGTTTTCAGTGAACACTTCCCTCATCTGTCCCGACATACAAACACGCATCAAACCTACCTTTTGAAACGCGCCCACTCAGGTCGCAATCAAAATTTGAGTTCCTGCTTAACAATCAATTAACCAGTTCTAAGTTAACCTGTTCAGGTACTCATGTGATAAGCGAATATGATTTAAATTCTAGGAAACCATATTGAGTTTTTTTTATCACAATACTGAGTGATTAAATGGCATTTGCCATCACACTTATCCGAAACGGGATGTACGTAGAAATACATTTTGTACGATACTACTCACAACGGGAAATTTAGGTGTACTGCGCTTTGTATAGGACTTCCAAAGGTTGACCATCTTTTAATCTTGACCACATTGGTCGAATCCCTCGGGTGGTTAACTTACGGTTTTTACTATACTATTTGGCCTCCCCACCTATCAATATATTTTTTGATGTATTACAGGTACAGCTTGCAACTTGGTTGTCATATAAGGATAGCAATTTCATTTGTTAACCGTAAATATGTTGAAACCTAGGTGCAAACAATAATGAGAGTCCAGTACAGAACTAGTTGTCTTTGTAATCGGATAGACTTGTGATGGTAAGTCCTGTTCACATTCAACTGTTAACTCCAACTAGGATCGAGGCGGGTATCAACTGCTGTACTGCATTACTCAACTTCTTGAAGTAAACCGAAACCATACTCACTGTATATATGCACCGGTATGAGACTTTGGTTGCTGGCGCAATCCACCTCGTAACTCCCAAGTGGAGGAAACGGCAGTTGTATACGTAATTTCCCGTCCCGTACATCGAGGTGGCCTGTCTGCTCTGTGCATGCGGCCTTTCGTCGGACCGTGGTCGATGAGAGACGGCTTTGAATGCGTTTATCCTCTACGGTGTATCTGTGCTCACAAAGTAAATGTTCCTGCTGGCCTTGTTCCAAGTTTACTGTCAATCGTGGGATGCAAAACAATTCCATGTCCATCAGACGAACAAGATATGCAATGAAAGATTTGAAACAAGTGTCACCGACACTGCAGGAGCAGTTGAGCTGAAGCAATCCGGTGTGCAGCTCGATTGCTGGCAAGTAGTTCACAAAGGACAATGGATGTGCAGCAGGATCGTCCTCGCGGCGGTCAATCCAGCCTTGACAGTATCGAGGCTCCGCATCGAGTAATGCTTGTTCGGAAGGCTGGCGCTCTCCGTACCATGTCAGTCGGACGAAAAGTATGTCAATGTCGTCAATTATAATGACACTTGAGCTTGGGTGCATCGTGAGCATCAAACCAGCCGGTGAAGCTATGGGAATGTAAAAAGGTCGCAGCAAAAATTAAATACTACCTGAAAATATAGTCGCTACAAGGTTTACTCTACTATCCGACACCGACGTATGAAAGCATTTCCACTAGCTGATGATACCTGTACGTATGGGTTGATATCCGTTGTCCAGACGAAGCTGTTCTTGTCCTCGCATGTAGGTCTTTCTTGAAACACTTCAAATGACTGCACAGGTTAACAAAGAAACCTTACAACTGAAAACCTTTTGTTACAATTGAGTCTTTGCCATTATTAACGATATGGGCCCACGGCACATCGCGTGCCCTTCGTCTGCCATGTTTTGATGGATCAAAAGTTGGCCAATCAAGAACTGGTCGGGAGGTTGCTTCAGTGATATTAACCCTATAAACGCTATTAAGAACCACTGCTCTACACTTACCAACTTTTAGTACTCGTTACTGAATATCTTTAGCAGTGGCGCTTGTCTCGGATAAATATTCACTACAGATAGTGACATCGAGTACCGAACTTGCCTGTGGCTGGGAGCTCCATGGTGACGGCCACAGGATGACTGTAGTGACAGAGAGACCACGGGTAGCTTGCGATGCACCACCTAAAGCTTCATCCACACAGCACCTATCCAGTGTAAAGCTGAAGGAATAAGACCGGGCGGAATGTGGGTTGGCTTCACATTTCAGCAACGGAGCCAGTCCACACTCATTTAACAAGCAGCGCAGCAGCGTATATGCCTAAGTGTAGAATCAGGCGTACCAGACGTACACAAGGCAGTGGGTGGGCCGTAGTCCGCTTCACAGTGAATGTGTGGAACCATCCTTTGAGTCAGACACGGTTAGGGTGCCCGTGCACGGCGTATCCCTAAGCAAAAATCAACAGTCTCGTGATAACAATAATGAAGCGTGCTAGGCAGGTAGGCACCTTGTTGATATTGAGATCAAGCGCAGCCACACCGGCTATACTAAACAACCAACGCAAAATTTAAAGGAAAATGATTAAGCAAAATTGATATAATACGCAGCAGAATAACAAAACTGAACACATCATATCGTGTAATACATTGTATCCAGATTCGAAAAATCCAGTGCAAGAGCAAGTGTAAGTCGGGGTGGCCAGACAGTGAAGAAGCATGGTGTATGCAACATCAACTTCACCATGCGGCATTTACTGATACGTATACAACTCAAAATAAGCGCGCAGACAAAATAAGCAGCTATTTCGAACCGAGAAAAAGTGCGGTTCTCCAGTGAACGGGCAATTAGGAATTCACAGTTTGTACAGCCGTCAAGATGACGGGGAGTCAAGCGTGGGGGGTCCAACTGATGAATCAAAAAATAATAAAAAACAACGTTTATAAATTGTAGCATCAGTATTTATATAAGAGTGTGTCTGCAGATAATGTAGTTAAAGGTTGTCACGAGGTGGTTCTTGGACACTGAAGAGAGTTAGTCTGCGGCGTAGTTACTAATGGGTAGTGGCAATTTGTAATTATTAAAGGCATTACGTCCCGGTCACTCTCAGTCAGCAGGCTTTGGTGAGTCTGGAAAAGCGCCAGACACCGGTGTTTCGACCTTCTGGGTCCCGTCAGTGAGGCGCCTTCTAGCGGTGGAAGATGAACAATATGTTAGAGGTAAAAGAGAGATTGCTTTACAAGTCACGTAAAATGGTTGAAGTGAAAGTAAACGTAAGTTTAGATCGTCAGTTTAAGCGTCTATCGATTCAGGTGCCCCTTATTCATCTAAACATTTTAGAATATGTACGGAATTGTTACTGTGGAGTAATATAGAAAGTAATATGTGGAAGGTATGTCTTAAGAACAAAAGAAACGGCGACGCTTACTCGCGCGCCGCTTTCTTGGACTGAGGTAGTTGATGAACGCATTTGTAATATATCCGAAAATATATTCCACAACAGCAATGCGTAAGTAGTGAAGCACTAAAGCTGAGAATGTGCATCGTTTGTTCGCGTTTGGTTGACGTAGACATCTCTGAGTATATAGCGTAATGTAAGTGGATAAGCGGATTATCCAGACGTCTTTTGAATACCGTTAGCGTTGGGGAAGAAACAATGTATGTGAAAAGAGCGTTCTAGTGTTGGCACACATGAAGAGAAAAGAAATTCCGGCGGCATTCCGACCAGCTGTATTGTGTGTCCAGATTTAGATGGTGTCCTCTGAGTGTGGTATTGTTATTGTATTGTTGTTATTTAATAGGGGACGACAAGAATGATTTGGATTCCTCACGATCATATAAGTCATTATCAAGTCGCCACGCAGGCGTCGATATTGGCCACTGTGGAACCCGAGGGTATTCAGCCTCAATCGGTAAGGGAGATGAAACAGGCCCTTTACGTTCTTGGTCGTCCTTCGTTGTGGCAATTCAAGAACGGTAATGTCTTGCTTTTGCCCTGGCTTTTAGACGTGGATGGCGTATTTAGAATAGAGCTGAATGTAGACGTTGAGCATCTGAGAAAATATGGAAGAATCGAAGCTCCCGAATGCCCTCCGCAAAAGGCCAAGTTGTTGATTAGCTTTTTTGGAGGCTTTCTCGGCCTGACGGGAACAGCCCAGATCTTCCTGCACTATCACACCTAGATCGCATTCCGTTGAAGTGCGCTGCAATATTTGATCGTCCAGTCTGTATTCGCAAATAGTTGTATGGCATATGGTCAACACCTTGCACTTTGTAGCGTTGAACTGAAGCAGGTTCTGAGTCGACCATTTGTAGATCCTGTCAAGATCATGCTGAAGTGCTGCATTGTCGCTGGTTGTTCTAATGGCTCGCCATATCTTGAGATCATCAGTGAAGAGTAAGGAGTTGAAGGTGATTACTGTCGCGAGTTCGTTTATGTAAGTCAGGAATAGCCGTGGACCAAGTACTGAGCCCTGGGGCACTCCGCACTTAACGTCAATCGGGTCAGAGATGACGCCGCAAACTCTTACATTCAGATGTCGTTGAAGCAACAAGTTACCTATCCAACCGAGTATTGGGTCACCAATTCCACAAGACCGCAGCTTTCGAAGGAGGGTACGGTGGTTCAGAATGTCCAAATCCTTGTGCCGGGCCATATCATAGTCAACTGTTAAGCACGCAAGTCCGCGGCTGTTATACATGGCGAAGTGGAACTAGCTGCTGGTATCCAGAAGTCATGGGGCGGAAAATGGCAGGGGTCCAGTGGAAGGCGCACCATTGACGAGACCCAGAAGGTCGAAATACTCGTGCCTGGTACTTTTCTAGATTAGCCAAGACCTACTGACTGGGCGTGCAGCGTAGTTGCCAAGTTTTCTGTCCACAATATCAGCGCAAGCCATGAGTGTTGGATCAACTCACAGTTATTCCATAATGACGGGACTGTGAAACAGCGCGCTGGCGCACATTTGGATAGAATAACAGCTTCAAGATCGCTATACTTGCGCTAATACTGTTCTAACGATGCATTGAAGGCTGCTCACTATTCCTTTCGCTTGACGGCCAGTTTCAGCACCATTTCTTATGCTAGGGACAGTGCAACTGCATAATCATAAAGAGCAGTACAGCAACCGTGTAAACGGATGCTTTGCTGCCGCACGATCATAACAACCTACGGAACAAAGTGCAACAAGAGGGAGAGAAGAGAGACTTACCTGAAAACCTTAATGCCCTAAGCAAACCTTCAGGATCAAGGCGTGTACACCCTGTCAACAGTATACCTTTGTAAACAGGTGGCTAACGTGCAATTATAAGGCCGCATCAGCGAGACAGCTTCCTCGCGGCGTTCACGGTGACGTGTCACAAACAGCCATTACACAATGGATAACCCAGCACCAAACACACGCTAAACAGGCATTCCGACTGCGAAACGTCAGCAAATGCGTCACTGCTGTCGGCTGCGAGCCATATCCTGTAAAGCCTTGAGCCAAGCACAAGGCGGGTCCCGTGGACTATAGCCCGGAAAGCGAGACGGACCGACGGCACCCAGTTGGATCATCCGTGACTTCATCTCACGCTGTCAAGTCAAATTTTGTCCATCGCGAGCTTAGCGTCACTTTATATCTTGCGGACTAAACAAGACCCTCTTAAGTAAGCGGTGACCAGGCATACGCAGTACGTGCCCAAGCCAACGCAATTAATTATGTGGTACCTGTTGTGCTAAGGAACTAGTATTGTTATCACTGTCCAGAAATCGCCTGTGCACATCATCGTTGCGGACACACTGGTGTCATCCGACACCAGAAATGCTCTGCAGACAACGATGATCAAAGACCCGGAGGCGCTAAGAGTTCTTAGCTAGAACGGGCCAAGTCGAACTGCCCTAGTGTAGGATTGCCCTCACTGTGGCCTTGCAAACACGTCCTTTCAGCTCATGGGAAACCCGTTTCTGTCGCCACAGGTGTCGCAGAATCAAAAAGGGAGTTCTAGCTTTGCAATGCGTGAACTGACTTCCGTTGTTGCTGATGCAGCTGACAAGATGGGTACGATGATCAATTACCTCAAGTTCCTCGCCATCGAGGGTCATGGGGTCCTAAGGGGAGCGCATCTCTATGCATTGCATGTCCATACGTCACCAATGGTTTTCGATGTGCAGTTACCTTGCAATCCATTGTGTGACACTAGGTAATTAATACTCTCAGTCAAATGGATCCCTCCATTCCTTTGAATACCATGGATTTTCTGTTCAACTTCAGCAACTGTGGTGACGTGTCATGCGGTCAAGCTCGCTACAGAATTTTGCTGCTAGGATTTTATTTCGCAAAGGTGCACCCATTTTTAGAACTTGGATTATTTAACTGCAGTCAAGCTTACTTGAGGTCAGACCGTCAGGAGACATACAGCAGCTTCGCGAACAACTATGAAGCCTTGGCAGATTTTACAGAGCACGATACTTTCACACTAAGTTGTCGAATGACGCATCGAATAGCTTGGTCAGGGCTTCGTAGCTCTATGCAGCTTCATGGACCACAGCACTGATCAGGATGTACAGGAGCACGATGAGTAAGCTGTATCTTTTCACAGTACACTGCAGGAACGATTTCAAAGTAGACGGAGCGTAGACTAATCCTTTGTGTGGTTGTAGTTAGTAGTTCAGATGAATAAATCGAGGCAGGCTTTTTAGACAGAAATGCAGTGAAACAGTCCACTCTAGCTGACCACAGTTGTATGGATCAAAAGTTACCAACAGAATCCATGCGAGTTAGCTCAAGCAAGAATAAGTAGTATATGTAGGAATTCATCACATCTCAACTCAGTCAGAGAGGCACCACACGCCCGGAGATACACTGTGCGGCTGTTTCATCTTTCCAGGAATCCTCTGCAGTGCTCATTTTATCTTAACGTTCTGGGGCTCGAACCCGCAACTGGACTGTTGTCAGTCTATGGTTGAGACCCTGCGCTATGGGGACCGGTAATGACCATGGTGACAAAGTTACTAGATGTGATATAGCGCTACTCACTATCTACTGCTTTGCACGTTAGTACTTTGCAAAAGGCAATGGTCTCAACCGCAGACTGGCAACAGTTGAGTCGCAGGTTCTAGCCCATGCGCACGGGTGACGACACCAGAAAGGATGAAACGGCCGTACAGTACTTTTCCGGGTGTGTGATGGCTGTTTGACTGGGTCTAGATAAAATGAATTTCTGCCCATGCCATGCAAATCCCCATGCTACTCCCTTATAAAGAAGAAGTACGCAGCTTCGATCCGCATTGGCCCGGAACAACTTAGTGGACAGCACGCGCGTTCTAACGGACCTGTCTGAAGACAGTGCGTGCCATGCTGAATTGCCGAGTAAGCGAGCAATGTCAATCCAAGCCAAGATGACAAATGCGAATCAAGTGCCGCTCACGTTAGCTGTGCAGGTTTGCACGGAACAGATGGAAAACGCGCAATTGACGTCACTTGACCAGAGCGAAGCTGAAAGTGGATCCTAGCGGGGCAGGTGTAGATTGGGTCGATCAAAGTGGAGGAACGGAGTACGCTGGCAAACGACCATAGGTTGAAGTTATGAGATGTGATAACCGGTGGTAGCCAGTAGAAAGCCGCCACACTGATATGCAATTCCAATTTGTGTGCAGCATAGAATGACTCCATTGTCCATACATGTATGTTCCAGATCGCTGTTGAGCATTTGTTTATGACTCTCCCGTAGGTCTACATGGCACTTGGTACCCAAAACATTGAGTCCAGCAACACTGTTGTTCAGTTTGACAAATAAATATCTACAATCAAATCATTCAGTTGTGGGAACGATGCCCTCACTACATACCTTGTCCCGTCCACATGTTTATACCCGGAAGACGCGTGTTGACCTCCAGTACAGTCTCTAAAACCCGTTGGAAGTGCTCGTAGTGGTTACTTCGCAAACCCACTCTACTCCCTGTACGAAGTTGAACAAAACCATAGGAAGACGGGTGCTTCGAGATGGTATCCTTTTGTGTCTTGTGATCATTTACAAGCTGACGACATATAAAAAGAAATAACTTTTTTTATTCTCGGCTACGCGAGGCACGCCATTAAAGCCATGATCATCGTAATAGTAAAACAATTCACATATAATAATTCCCAGGGAAACAACTGACTTGTTTTTAACTGAACCGGAGTGGAACATACGCAGACATGAACCAGCAGATCAGAGCTCCGAGTTACAACGCGACTCAGTGGTTGTCATGAGGATATCTGCCAGTATTTGGCCGAATGGACCTAGTTAACATGTTACCGAGCACGTTGCACACACGGACTGCAAGGTATTTGCTGATATTAACTCGTGTCAATTGTTCTATCGTTTGGTCGTATTTGCTGCTCTCAAGTGTTAGCACTGAGTCTCAGCACACACACACACACACAGTTTGCTGAATCACCTGCATGAACTGACTGTCTATCTCAATGTCAAAGGTAAGGTGATTGTTTCAGCACACTTCTTTAAATCTTTGAATTTGTGGGCGAAACAATAACACCGGAAGTTCATTTCGGTTGCTCTGTGCGTGATACGGAAAATCATCTAGGTTGACGAAAAGCTGCCAATGCTTTTCTGCACCCATATACATATTACATCGTCTGCTTTAGAGATCAACTTATGTGGATTCATTATGTTTCTCTAGTAGTGGTGATCAAAACATCGAAAAGGCCGGGCTGATACCACATAGAACGTCAAATGCCAGCTCACTACGCACACAACTGATCACGGTGACATGGGTTTTACTAGTTATAAAGGATTGGCTACTCATGGCTGGAAGCAAAGGTATGTGCTTCAGTTAACTATTCCTTTTTTAGTTATTTGTGTGGTGAGCAAGATGGGACCACTATGGCTTGAGCAACAGCCCGTAAGCAAGTTGGCGGGTCTACTTAGCCACTGAATGGTGAGGTCTGAGAAATCCACTGCCTGATTACGTCAACTGAGCACGGACGCACTGTGATGTCAACAGTACCCTAATTACCGACCGTTACCTTATGCTCGCAGACATATACGAACTGTTTTACTAGACTACGAAAAGTGTGGTCACACTTGAGAAGTAGAAGGGCCTGCCCTAGCAGACACTTGAGACTTGCACATGCGGGTGTCTAGGAGCCAGATTCCGAATTTCTATCTTAAAACACTCAACCACAAGAATAACTAACACCACCTAACCCAGTTGGTCCCATGGTGTCAGCAACTTACCCAGTACAAGAAACTCCACAGTGTTGTTCAGTACGAAAGGATCATAGGTGAATCGGCAAACTGGGGAATAAACGCCTTCAGGAGTAGAGGAGTCAAGACGCAGGATATGCGGATGTACGTACTGCAAACCTTGGGCGGTGAGTGGGTCCCAAGCAACATGATTGTCATAGACAGGCTCCGTAGAAGTGGGCAACTGTAGGCGACAGTGATACTCCCGAGGCGATCCAGACAGTTGTACTGGTCTGGGTGCATCCGTAATGACAATGTTTAGGTCAAGCCAGTCTGAAAAGAAGTTTTCATTGGAGGTTAGCAAATGCTAAATTTGCAACGTAATCTTTGGCCTGAAACTACATTCGCATCAAAGTAACTCACTTGAAATCCGAAGTCACATCTTTTATATACATACACATACACGTGAAACGAATTCCTGTGACTGAGCCGAACTTATGCTTCGCTCGGATTCGGTATGCTAATTGTAGCACGTCAGAAAGTATCGTTATCGTAGGGAAATAAGTGGGGTGTCGTCTAGTCCAGTCTTGAAGGCGGTTGTCATTTCTTCTGCTCTTTTTCCTTCCCATTTTATTTATAGTGCTGTTAGGACAGTCAACTCTGGTTCCTTTTCACACCATCCATTCATCCAGAGTTCATGATCGGTTCACCATCCGCAACTATGACAAGGGCACGTAGCGCACTATGAGGTGTAAATCAGGCGCGCTGTCTATCCAGCTCCGACAATTACTAGGTGGTTTGTGACGAAATCATCCAGGCCGTTGATACGTAGTAACGGATTTAGGCAAAGCACGCCCCCAGACCGTAGTTAGGCAAGAACAAGACACAGAACAAAACAAAGTGTATCGGGCGAAGCAGTGCGACATGGATCACATGACACACGAGTTAAAGCATGAGCGAGGAACAATTGATTGGTCAATGGGAGGAAAATCAATAAGAACGCGGTGTAGGTAAACTAACTAATCAATATCATCGACGGTTGTAACCTACCCTCCTCTCTTGGAGAAAGTCATACACCGGGAACGAAACGTTCACCAGTTTAGGTACAGTTTGAGATCCGCGAAGTGATTGGCAGCTTTTAGTTTACACAGTATTCTGAATGGTTTTTCCACCGTCGGCTGGACTGAGTCAGATATATTTTCCTCATTTGCTCGTGTTTCTACACAACGCGGACGTATGTGATTTGAATGCCGCCTCAAGACGCGACTATTTACCTCTACGTCAGTCTGGGTACTATCGCTTGTGACCAAGGTTGCGGGCTGCCATGACTGTTCGTGGAGAAGCCGTGTATACACAGGATCTCCCGGTTGTAAAACAACATCGTGATCCATCTCTAACGTAACTGTCTTGTTTTTTCGCTTCGATTTGTGCTCGACGATTAGGAAATAATAGGTGTAATCTAGTATGAAGTGTTCTACCAAACATCAGTTCAGCGGGGGATTTACCCTTGGCTTCTGTCGGAGATGTTCTGGAGACAAAAGTTAATCTAACTAATCGCGCTTGTACGGATCTTGATAACTGCTTTATTAAGCCTATTTTTACCGTTTGTGCCTCCCCTTCGGCTAATCCATTTGACGCAGGATGATATGGGGCAGCACGCAGGTGTTGAATGCCATTCCTCTGCATAAAGCTTTCAAACTCCTTACTGGTAAAACAGGACCCATTAGCTGTACAAACAGTTTCAGATATTCCGAAAACCGAAAACCATGGTCGCATCTTTGAAATAGTTGTTTCAGCCGTGGAATGAGACACTGGATGAACATCGATTCATTTCGAATAGGCATCAACATCCAACAGGGAAAATGTTCCGTTTAAAGGACCAAAATAGTCTGCATGGGTACGCTGCCATGGCCTTTCAGGCCAACGCCAAGGGTTCATTGGACCTGAAGGTTTATTCGACTGATATTGTTGGCAGAAATCACACGTTTGCAGGTAGTTTTCAATTTTGGCATCTAAGCCGGGCCCCCAACAATAGCGGCGTGAAAGGGCCTTCATTCGGGCAACATCTGCATGTCCACTGTTAAGTTTATTTACAATAAAGTAGCGCGTTTTCGACGGTGGAATCAAATGGGAGCCCCAAAACAAGCAATCATCGTGTATATTCAGCTCATCTTTCCGAAGCCCAAACGGTTTAAACTCAGTTGGAATTCTACTAGGCCAGTCTAGTTTCATGAAACGTATCATGAAGGCTCGTTTGGGATCCCGATCGGTTCATTGACGTATGAGGTCACTTGTCCAAGGGTTAGTGTTGCGATACTGCATCAAATGAACTAACTTCGCCGGTAAATCTGTTAGCTCTGCGGAAGTCGCTTACGGTAACCGACTCGGAGCATTTGCCGTAAAATCGTTGAGCCTATGATGTAAGATATTTTGTATTCACACGCACCAAGGATTAGGGTCCACCGTTGCATTCTAGGTGAAAAAATTTAATGGATCCCCTTGGATTCACCCAATAAGGATATCAACGGTTTGCGATCAGTTTGGACCTCCAAATGACTGTCCCAAATATCCTGGTGAAATTGCTTGACAACAAAGAGTACTTTTTCAGCCGGTTGTAAGGCACGCGAAGCGAAAACAATTGAATGAATTGCAGCATTCAGCGTTTTATGACGCAAAAGTTCTCCAACTCCGTATGGGGAAGCACCACACTGAATAAGCAGAAGCTTTCTCTTTCGCGGTGATCTAAAGCTGGCGCTGGTGCTTAACAATTCTTAGAACGAATGAAATCTGATTGTTACTCATCATTCCACACGCACGGGGTGTTTTTATGTAACAGTGCGTTCAAAGGAGCTAAAATAGTTTATGCCCCCAGTAAAAACGACGATAGTGTGACAACATTCCTAAAAATGATCGGAGTTCGCCAATATTCTTAGGCTGCGGTGCCCGTATAATTGGGGATACTTTATCCTGCGAAACATACAGACCGCTCTTATCACGTTTGTAGCCAAGATAACAAACAGATTCAGACAAAACTCACATTTAGATTTCTTCAGTTTCAATCCATTCGATTCCAAACGTTCCAACATCGTTTGAAGTGTTTTTAAGTATTCAGCTTCACTTCGGGAAGAAACCAGGATATTATCCAAATAAGCACAAGTAAGGGGTGTATCCTTCACCATATCATCCACAATCCGCTGGAAGATGCTGGGGGCGGCGTTTATTCCGAAAGGATGACGGGTATGCAGTAATAGTCCAAGATATGTAGTCAAAATGGTTAATCCGCGTGAGTGCTCATCAAGTTCCACTTGAGAATATGCGTGACTAAGATCAAGCTTAGGAAGTTGTTGACCACCGGATAACGTAGAAGACAAATCTTCGATACATGGCAAGGGATACCTTTCCATCTTGGAAGCTTGATTGGCATTTCAGCTATAGTCTCCAAAGATACGAACCGTACCGTCGGGTTTGAGTACATGAACATTTGGAGTACGCCAATGTGAGTGTTGAACGGGCGAGTACGCTTCGCATTGTAGCCGTTGTAGTTCTACTTAACTTTTGGACCCATAGCGTACGGTAATGTTCGTGCTTTGCAAAACTTGGTATTGGTGTTCTCCTGTAGATTGATGGAAGCTTTGAAATGTTTCAGCTTTCCCAACTTATTTTCGTATAAAGAAGGAAATTGTTTCAACAGATCATTTAGACTGCTGTCATTGATCACGACCTCATTAATTTGCATCGTTTCTTGGAAGTATCGGATCCGATTTCTGCTCAGGAGATTTGGTCTATTTCCAAGTACCATGATCAAAGGTAGAGTTAATTCCGGCTCGCCGTGCCTGACTTTAATCATACACTTTCCCAAGCGTAATCGGAACTCCCGTGTAGGTTTGCAATTTGGAGTCGCATGGTTGTAAGGGTGGCAGACTCTTAATTGTATCATCATTTATACTGGTAACCACAGCCCCTGTATCCAGTTCCAAATAGATCGGCTAATTGTCGATCATCAAACAGATCGTATATGGAGGGCACTTGTTGGGTGATACAGTATTCAAGTAGACGGAATTTAGATCGATGTCTGGGTCTTTCAGAACGCTTTTTCCCGTAAGCGGCAGCTTATTATGGCACCTCGATTGAGTGAGATTAGTTGGTAACGCGGGTTCCGATCGGCACAAGCCGGCTAGGTGGCCCATTTTACCACATTTTGCTAGATGCCTTTTTGTTGCGACACCCAGAAACACGAACATGTTGCATCCCGCAACGATAGCACACCAACTGTTTTCGAGGTTCAGCTGGAGTCCGTAGTTTAGCAAGTGCGTGAACTGTATAGGCGACTGGATGGGCAGTCAGTTCACGTAGCTGGTGCGAGATATTCTCCCTTTGTCGAACGAGTAGACAAACATTCTCCCTCATGCTACCTGACTCGTTCATAGAAAACAATTTTCCCGTGCGCTTTCGTCCAGAATCCCCGCAATTAAGCACTGTATTTTCAGCTCTTCTTCAAATGTGTCGGGCGGAATTGCAGCATATTTACACTCAGGAATAAACTGATGGATGTGTGCAAGGAAGTCGTTGACGCTCTCGTTCGGTTTCTGTACACGCTTTAGAAAGCCGTATCTCGCAGTATAAACATTCTGTTTCAATCCCCACAGTATGGTATGTTTATCCAAACCTGATGTAATAGTTTCAATTTTCAACACCTAGAGCACCATAATGTCGCTGACATTCATTTAGCACTTGCTTGTATAGTCGTATTTTGTGGGACTCCAAAAGTGAAAGCGTAGAATCTGAATACAGGCAGTAGTTCTAGGTAGAAATTAAATGATTTCTTCCACCTCATCCAGTTTTTATAAGGTCGGTTTGTCCTCAGCGGAAGACCAAAAGTTAGCAGTTGGATTAATGATAGGGTTCATCTAGATCCCGTCGCCAGTAATAAGTAGTAACGAATTCAAGCAAAGCACGCCCCCAGACCGCAGTTAGGCACGAACAAGACACAGAACGAAACAAAGTGTATCGGGCGAAGCAATGCAACATGGCTCACATGGCACACAAGTTAATGCATGAGGGAGAAACTATTGATTGGTCAATGCGAGGAAAACCAATAAAAACGCGGTGTGGCTGAATTACCTAATCAATAGTAGTGACGGATTCATCACCGCTACAAAGTAGTTGTTTCGCATTTCAGCCCTCTAGATCCACTTCAACCCACGGATACGGAAGCCCTCAGAACCTTCGATCAGATGCATACTGCTACACCATTTGATCCGGTGGTTTAAAAGCACAAAGTCGTCCCACACCTCTAATCATGAACTTCACTCTCACCCACTTCTTTACTGTGGCTCATGTGCATGAAGCACACGCCCTCTCACCTTACCATATATTCTCGACGTTTTTGCGTGTTTCATCTTGACTTGACGTATGGCCAATACATTGTACGGTGCGGTGACCTTGTTGTGACGGCTCTACGCCCCATCAACCGCGATCATAACACATATTACATGTTGTCTATGCGGACAACATTAGTGTCTTCGGAAGTAATCCCACTGAACATAATGAAATCATCCATAACGTTCTGCATAGACTGAATGAACTAACTCTCACCCTGAATATCAGTAACGGAGGTAGAGTATATTGGGCATATTATTTATATCTCAGGTACTTAACCTATTGTGTAAAACACCAGAGCCATTCTAGCTTGTCCGAAACCATGCAATGTTACACAGCTGAAAGACTTCTTGCGTTTGTGTTCTTATTACCTTCGACATTTACAGAATTGTGGGACTATTACCTAGCGGTTTCGGAGGCTGACGTGCAAAAACCAGGAGTTTCGTTGAACCACAGAACAAGTCGATGCCTACATGATCATATGAGCGATGATTGAATCCACTCCTACAGTAACTATCTTCAGTGAGCAGTGCCTAACGGTTGCTTCAACTGATGCTTCAGGTTTTTGTTTGGGCGCCCTTTTGTCCTAGCTGCACGATGGTGAGGAGAAACTGAATGCGTACGCATTGCGTACCCTGTCTGATACCGAAAGAAATTATTCGACCGGCGAAAAGGAGGCTCTAGCATGCGCCTGGGCTTGTGAGAAATGGTATTTTAATTATTAGGACTTCGGTTCAATTTGCGCGCCGATCATTCTGCTCATAAAAAGTGGTAACAAAGGCCAAAAGCCGGTACGCTTGAGTCGTTTGTAATCACGACTATTTCACTATGATTATGACACAAAATGTGTGCTAGCTTGTTTTAAACACCTTCCAGCTACCATGTCAAGCATTCCATCATTCAAGGAAGGGGAAAATGAGAACTTGGATGAGGTAAAAATGATACCCATTTCTGAGACTGAACACCTACAATAATATGCGACATGATAAGAGAGCACATTGACAAAGACCTTGTCCTAGCGAAGCTTTGGGAGTACATATCCACCTTATGGCCTAATCACAGTAACATCCAACCTGAATTAATTCCATACTATTCTCTGCGGCAAGCGATTTCTACTGTGAGCAACTGCGTTATCAGGGGCGATGAGTTTGTGGTCAATGCAACCATTATTCCTCTGCTGGTTGAATCTGCGCAGGATGGTCATCTAGGGAGTGGGTAGCCAATAACACGGATCCGACCATGCTATTGGTGCTCGAAGTTGTATTGTATCTTCGCGCCGGTTATTCGGGAAGCTTATGCCTGCCAGCAATCCGGTAAGAGTGCGAGGCCACTGAATGTTCCAGTCCAACCTATGGTGTACCCAATGAAAGTATGGGCAATAATTGCACATGACATTATGGGCCTGTTTACCAATTCGCCTCCAGTGAAGTGAAACATGCTAGTGGCTACCTGTTTCTACATCAAATGGCCAGAGGCTATACTGTGCGGAGACGTAACTACGGCCTTCATCATAAAGTGTCTCTAATGTTGGTTTGCAAGGTGCGGATTGTCAGAAGAAATAGTCACTATTAACGACCCACAGTTTCGAAATAACCACTAGGCCGAATTCCTAAGGCACAATGGTATCAGACGCTCGAGAAGTGCACCTTACAATCCTGCCGCGAATAGGCTTGTCGAACGACTCAATCGTACTTTGAAAGAATCTCTACAAGTCCCTCGGGTTTCGGTAAAATTCTGGGATCATGCGTTGGTATGCGCATTGGAGGTATACAGAACCACTCCATATACTAAAAGACAAAAACACCTACACAGCGACTGTTTGGGCGAATAATTAGAAATCGGTTTAATGTAGCCTTTATAGCCAAAGAAATCGCCCACCAAAGAGAACGTAAAAGATGGGCTGCTTACCAAGCTAACTATAGATGTGTTGGGAAAGCTAACCCTTCAGGGATAATTGATCGTGTAAAGCTACCCTAATCCCGGAAAGAAGTTAAGATGATCGGACCTGTAGCGTCCAAAAGCTAATTACCATCTGTTATGTACCATTTCCTTGCTGACTGATTATACATTCGTCTTACTTGTTTTAACCTCCCTTACATCCGGTTCGTCATTTAACCGTCCTGTAAGTTGCCGCGCTAACGCGTTGCTGCTGTCATGCTACATCTGTCCACGTCCTGTGTAGCCCACCAACTACAGTCCGCTGTGTCCGACTCCGATTGCCTTCTGATATCCGCGCTTAATTTCGCGTACCTTCTCGGACTGGTATTTACTACTCCACAAATTAGTGACCCCGATTAACAAGCGTGAATTTAAACTATTTTCGTCCTTTGTATTTTTTGGTGAGTTCGTTCCTTTTTCGTCTTGTGTCAGTTCGGTCAGTTTGCTCCGCCGTCCGATTTTTCTACAGGCCTCGTGTTACTATAAGATTAAGACCATCATCGACTATCGCGAACCTCATACTTTCAAGCAGTTAATTTGCTTTGAGAGGCCTGTTAACTTTTATTGCCATTTTATGGCAGAATATGTGTCGCTTATGCAGCCACTCACGGACCTTCTCCTGAGAAATTTAAGAAATTTGATTTTAACTGAGAACACGAGACAATAGGGGAACAAATTTTTCGATGGCTCTCTTCAGACCGTTACAATCATTCGATTTTCTGGCGGCAGCAACCACTGCGTTTAAAGATTTAAAAGAAGCTATCTCCAACATAGCTTCTATAGCGCCTCACACCCGGAAGCCTCAATGTCGCTTAGTACCGACATGGCACTAGGAGTGGTCTTACAATAAAAGGTAGATGACTTTGGGTAGCCATTGTTGTATTTTTCCAAACGCTTGCAATTTTTAGAATCTCGTTACGGCACCTCATCATCTATTGATCCATACGTCATTTCCGACATGTCATAGA